AGACACGAAATTTCTTTTAATTTCTCATGAATGTCTCATTTTTTAAAAATTTATTTGCTTCTACATCTTTTGGTGTACATTTTGGAAAAAGGAGTATATGCCGCTTTCAGACCACTAGACCACTGTGCAGTGTATCCAAGGGGAGCTGAAGTCATTCAAGCTGAAGACTCAGCCTCTACCCTCCCCAATTATATTTTTCATTGATCCATTTTTTGGTTCTATGAATGAACTGAGACACATACTTAAACAATTACCATATATTCCCTTTTTAAATTAAAAATTATGTAATACTACCACATTTAAAAAGAAATATCTTTAAAAGCATCATTGTTCCTTTAATTATGTATGTAATAAAATTATTTCAATTAAAACCAAAAATTTAATCTCACATAGCCAAGGAATATCGAACAAGTCCTCCTCGCAAGTCCTTACTAACTCGAGCAACACCTTCATCCGGTAGCATGCACTAAGTGGCATGGCAGATGCGTTGCCAACGGTCAACCCACCACCGTGGGAATTGTTCTTTACAAATGAACTTACTCTCAGTTTATTCCACGAATGGGATCTAAAACGCCGCGAACAGCTATATCATTTCGCTAATTGGACAATTTACTCCATAAATGAAGGAAAACATTTTTTAATTAAAAAAACGTTGCAATTCTATTAGAGCATTCAATAAAAAAAAAATTGAACATTGTTGAATGAAATTGAAACAACATTAATATTAAAAAATAAATGAATTTAAACAAAGAGTTAGCTGATTCTGAAAAAACTAGGAAAGTTTCAGAAAGGAAAATAAAATATCATAAGAAAAAGAAAAACCTGGAGAACTTTTACATTTAATAGTTTGTTATTACCTAATCATACTCCCAGAGCTGGAGATATAAATAATTGTCCTTGGAAAAAACTATAGAAAAAAATCTTCTCTAAAGTTGTCTCTGCTCCTTTAGTCCGTGGTCACAGACCCCTCTTTATCAACTAATTAAAAAAAAAAAAAAAAAAAAAAAAAAAACCTGTACCACTAAAACCCCAGAAGGGTCTTGGGTTTATTACTATTTAAGGGAAGTACTGTTTCAAGGCCAACGGTTGTGCAGGAAGGGGATCAGACCAGGATCACGCTCAACCGCCAGGTTTTCTCCATTAATCAATTATTTAATTGAGAGTACCCACTGTATAGAGGCTAGGTGAACCCCAGGAAGGTCTCCCTACCCCAGGGTCATCCCACGGCCAATGAAACAGAATAAATAAATTTTCTACCATGAGCCGGGATTCGAACCTGGGACCTCGCGAGCAGTGGAAGCTGACTGCCCTACCACTGAGCTACCCCGGCTTTCCTACCAAATAATTAACATCTAAAACTTCGTGAGTGGTAGATGAATCTTATCGCAACCTACACATTTTCTAGTGCTGCCCAAAATCGGTCAATACCAAGACCGCCTAAAGTTGCAAGACCAAGACCAAGACTAATAAAAAAAATTCAATTTTTAAAATAAAAATTAAGGCAAAATAGTAACTAATACTTACAATTTAGTTACTACATGTTGAGAATTGGTATAAGCAATATACTTTGGATTTGACTCTTCTAATTTTTCAATCGGGCTTAGTTAGGTTTCTTATATCTAAAAAAATTCAGTAATATCTCTATAGTGATAAGCTAATAAGTAACTGCAAGGCTCTTGTGCAAGACCAAGACCATGACCAGGACTCAGAAAGCAAAACCAAGACGAGTCTTGGTCTCACATTTGGGCAACCCTAACATTTAATATCTACGAACATTATCAGGAATAAGATGTTTTCTCATTAAAATAATTAACTTAATGAGGAACTTAATACTGATAAATAAACATTTGCTTCCACTTCAACTTTAAGATAATCTGGTCACGAAATCGAAAAAAGTGGCCGTTTGGCCTATGTATCATCTTTATTTTGACATGTCGGAGGTCACAAAGTTTTAGGTTTATCTTACTCATTTGATTAAAAAAGGGTTCAGCAAGTTTCGAGACAAGAATTTTTGTTTTTCTATAAAATTGATACTGAAATATTTTTGCTATAAATCTCCAACTTTGGTCCAAATTGGACAAGCCGTTTTCGAAATAAATATGTGTCCATACAAGTAACATTGCGCAGACAAAAGCGAAGTAGTGGGGAAAATATGATAAAACTGATACGGGAACATCCGCACCATCCCTCAATCGTTAACGGTAGAGTAGATCCTATACCCGTTTCGTTGATTTAAAAAACAGATGCAACAGTTTCCTTTTGCATAGTTTTTCTTTATAACTTCCAAACTTTATACATCTGTGGGCCACCAAAAATCTTGTTTTGTGGCAATATGATACTAAATGATATTATAAAATTGATTATTTCATTCAAAACGAAGTTATTAATAAAAAAAAAACAATTTAGCGATACAAAATATTTTGATATTACCTTGCTTAAATTGCAACAACTTTTTGAGGACCAATGGTTGAAAAACTTTCAAGATATACAACCAAATTTGCCTATTATATGTAGAATGTAAGCTAAAAACGGTTCTGGATGATTTTTTTTCCACAGCCTACATGAATACAAAATTTCCCTACACATTATTTAGTGAGCCAGCAAAATTGATAAAAGGGAAATGAACTGTCTTTTACTAAGCCCGTTCTTTTGGCTGGTTAATATTTGGATCCTGATTTTTTTTTTATATATATTCCAAAACTAACATTTTGTTAATAGATATTTTTTAATTAATTATTTGTTTGCAAGCTAGATCATTTCTAGTATCTCCTACTCCATTAGTCTAATTAAATATTATATAAAAGGAAAAAATCTGATGCGGAGAGCGCAGCACACAACTTTCACTTACCACTCTCTTCTTACCAGAAATAAGTATTTTCAGACAAAGGGGAAGTGAAAGTAAAAAATATAAATGCTATATTGATTTATATTTCATTGTGGATATTTATATTTGTTTAAGTACCCTCATATAAACAAATTTTAATATTTATATTTCTGTAATTTAGACAATTAAATATTAAATAATACCAACGAAAACATTTAGGATAACCGCAAATGTATATTTAGATAATATCATCGGAGTCCGTATCATATTAAGCTCATATTACTATGGAAGCCAGTTCTACTCTTCGGACTACTTCGGCCGCGCTCGTATCCCTTTGGTTCCTTCATTACAACTATTCCCAGTTACGATCCCATATTTCTCCTTTAGCTAATTATTAAATTCTTTCATATTTTATAGTTAACTACTTTATATCAGAGATCAATATGAAATTGTTGATTGTTTCAAATTAAAAAAATTAAAGTTACTTTAGAGGAAGCTATTATTGAAAATTAGCCATTTAAGCTCCGTTAGAGAACACTAATGAGAACAAAATCTACATAATATTAAAAACTGCAAAATTTGACACTGGTATAATGAAGTTAGACTTACGGAATTGAGCTATAAGGCTCCACTAAACCATCGAATTCCTCTTATGCAATCCTTCACAATCCAAAATCCTTCGTAAAATCCTCAATCATGCTTACTTTGTTACAAATAAAATCCTCCATAATGACCTTACTATTCCTTACGTTTCAGATTTGGCCGGATCCACATCCCTATCTTTCCATAATAAACTTCAGAACTATCCCAACCTTCTCGTTTCTAACCTTGCTTCCTCTTCAATTCCTGATAACCCTCCGAGGGGTCTGAAAAGAAGATGACCCTATCTTCTAATGTAGACATATTATTAAAGTTCTGTCAGTGGGCAGTATCTTATATCAACAAGTGATTTCGTGTCACCATATCCATTTGTACAAATTTATTAGATGTATTATTTGTAATACAGTTGGAAGTATTATAAATAAAAAAATTAATTTGTTTTTTCATTGACTGAACACCTCAACCAACTTCTTTCAAATTATCACCAACAGTCAACTATTATGATTATTATGAGAAGGAATTAATGGGGGGAGGGGATACGGTCAAATAAATACTAAATTAAAATATACTATTTATTTAATTTTTGCCGACGTTTCGACCCACTTTGCAGGTCGTCTTCAGGGCGTAGAATGTAGCACTGTGGTAGGCAGTTGAAACACTGCTTCAAAAACGTCGGCAAAATTAAATAAATACTATATTTTAATTTAGTATTTATTTGACCGCACCCCCAATTAACTCCTTCTCATATTATATCAACAGTCAACCATCTCTACATCATTATTCAACATCAAGCAAAATCGATGACATTCAAAATTACTAAAACCAAGATTCTTCATGGGTTATTGAGGCAGTAGCTAGTATTGCCCAAATGCGAGACCGAGACGAGTCTTGGTCTTGCAAACTCATTCTTGGTCGTGGTCTTGGTCTTGCGCAAGAGTCTCGCCACAGTCTTGCAGTTACTTATTAGTTAATTGCTATAGAGATATTACTGTAATTTTTTAGATAGGAGAAACCTAATGAAGCCCGAATGAAAAATTAGAGGTGTTAAATGCAAAAGTATTTTGATTATACCAATTATTAACATATAATAACTAAGATTATCAACTATTAGTAACTATCCTGTCTTAATTTTTATTTAAAAAATCAACCAGTACTGGTCTTGGTCTTGCGACAGTTAGGCGGCCTTGGTCTTGGCCTTGCAAATTAATTTCTTTATATCTTTTTCTAATAAATTATGTTTTCAAAAACCTAATTATAAATTACCAAATTTTGTATACAAAGTCCCTCTCTCTCATTTTCGCCCGTATTAAATAAGGTGGCAGCCCTGTCAGAAGTCTTTTACATAGTTGGCAATAATGAATGTGTTTTAGTCAATTATAATTTTTATTCGCGTAGAAAAACCTCCAGAAGAGAATATTTTAAATAAATGCAAATAAAAAATGAATTTCGAAACGTGATGGAATTTTTGTTTATTTTTCATCCGCGTGATATGACCAGCCTGCGCCGAAAGATAAGTTGGCAGCACTGCTAACCCCCACCATATTACCACTTCCACCACGCCCGCCACTTCAGTCCTAGTCGAGCCACGCTGTAGTGTAGAGTCCATCAACCCCGGCCCTTCACGATTCGTCTTATTGTTTATGTAGTTTTAGCATTTGTAGTCAAAGGTGTAGGTTGATCGTCTATGTAGTCCGGAGACCAGAGCAGGCAGAGAAATCACAAGTTTTGGAAAAAAAGATGTCCTCTTAACTACGCATTAAAAGAAAGTGTCATGTCTAAATTAAGGTAAATACATTTCAGAAAATAAATACCCTTTTTTCTCAAAATGCATGGTACTATTCACTATTCAAAAGGTGTTATATATAGTATATTAAATTATGGTTAATTTAATCATTCAAATTATTTTCATGAGACTATAATAATAAACTAGAATATTTCATTAAATAAAATTAATTTTTAAAATTGTTATTAATCATTTAAGAACAATCGGCCAACAAGGCAAACTAACATAGAAAGATGCTATGAGTAATATCATTCCTTTCAAAATATACCGTTGTGTCACCAACCTGTAACAGTCTATATCATCTATTCTTTACTATCACTATATCAATGTAGGCAAAAATAATTATAAAAATATATATTGAAGATCAGAATCTCATTTTTTAAGAACAATTCTGTATCTAATTTTAATAAAAATACTGACTAAATAATTAAATAATTTAATACAAAAACAGCTGTGTTTATATTTTCTTAAAGCGAAGGTATTAGTATTCTTATAGAGCTGTAATAAAGGTCAATTTAGCATAACCTTCTAGTTAGGAACGGCTACGAATATTTACTTAATTTTCCTTGTTGCTTAAGTATTAGTTTCCTTTTGTTTTATTTATTTATAATTAAAAGTCAGTAATAAATAAAGTAATAATTTAAATTAATAACAAATATGTAAAGAAAATATCATTAATTAATATTTAAAACGTTACAATCTTTTAAAAATAACAATTAAATTCATTCAAATTCCACTACCAAAATTATAGAGAACCTGTTGTAAACTGTTAAAGTACATACTTCTTACTTACATGATATGTTTTTATAAATTATACGAGTAAAAAATTATAGCATACGAGTGAATTGAATGTTATCTGCAAAGAAAGGGGCAGCTGGTTGCGATAACTTCCTTTTTTTTTTATCAACACTAGATACCACGATCCATGATGCTATTTTCAATTTGCGAATCAAAATATATTACACTATGCATATTCGTTGCTAGGCAAACATTTAAATAGCCATAGCACGTGTGAAAGATGTGACGTCTTATTGTAAAAAAATAACGTTTTTTTGGCTATTCATTACTTAACCTCATAGATAGATGTTTTTATATGTACAAACACACACATATATATACATACATTAATTATTTATATAAAATTAATCACACTTTTTTTATAAGATCTTAGTCTGATTATTTATTAACAGATTTATTGAAATTTTCTAAACTTGTCTGTTTTAACTCTCATAAATAAAGAAATCCACATGTCAGTGGTACTCATATTTTTCACGCTATAATGAGCTCTCTGGAAGTAGATTTTTTTTTTTTTTTTGTAAAAGGACGTCTTCACGGTTGTCTGCGATGTTTAGAAGGCATGCACTTAACATAATAGTATGCTGCGAACAATTCTATAGTCACGTAGTAATAAGGATATGTTATACGAATGAGTTATGTTATCACAAGATCTGATGAGCTTACACACTGAGAAGAAGTCTTATAATGTGATCGTAAAACACATAACTCAGAAGGACTATTTTTTGACTTATAGCCTTATCCCTTATGGCCGTATAAGTAATTATACGTAGTGACAAAAATAAAACCAAAGTAGAGCATTTAGGCGCAATTTGTAAGCAATATACTGGCGAAATTGTAATAAAATGAGTATTTATTTAATAATAACGTGTTAGGATTAAGTTTAAAGAATGTCGCGATGCAAAGTAGTACCTAACGAGTAAGTTGGTTATTTATACTGAAGAGGGAAGAAAAGGACCCACAAGAAAAGCGCTACCTTGGGGGGCGTATCTTAATTACGCCACTGATTATACGTAAAGAAATATTATTCATTTATAGTAAACTAAATTCTATAAATTTAAAATACAGCTAAGAAACTAAAGAATAAAAAAAGGTATGCTATCATGCGAGTTATTAACAATTCTGAAAGATTTAAATTAAGTATAAATTTCAAATTAAATGATCGTTGTTCCTTTCATATACTGGGTACATAAGCTTACTTTACAACTAATATCAGAGGCTTTAAAAAAACTGCATAATTCAAAATAAGATCTTCAAAGAGTTTTTCATAGTTTTATATAAACATAAAATAATAAACTTAATAATTTTAGAAAGTTTTAATAAATGCTATTATTTTGTGCAGATTAAATATAATCATAAAATTATAATATAACCGTAAAATGCGGATCCAGGCTAAATAAAGTTACTGGTCTATTTAACATTACTAATATAAAATTACAAAAAAAACAAATAAATTATAATTAAAATTGCTAATAGCAGCATACCATATAATATCGATAAAAATCAACATTCAGATTGTAAATATAAAATCAGTAATATTTAACAATCAAATACTGTAAACAAATATGTAAAATAAAAATATAATTAATACTACCAAAATGCCCAATAACACCCGTATGAGGCTCAAAGAAGTTGGATGAGGGATGTCCTCCATTAATTACAAATTTTAAATCAAGATAGGAAGGAACGCCACGGGGCACTCCTCTCCCTCGTGCCTACCAACGTCTTACTCCATACTCTTCTTCCTGACAGCACACTCGTTGGTTATTGGTGTGAGTCGAAAAATCAAGTTTATATAAACACACACAGATATATATATAAATGGAAAAAATGTCCGTCTGCCTTTATAGCTTTATTGTATTTAGCAGGGCATCTTAAATTTTTAGGTGAAATTGATTGTGGCTTCATTGAACTTTTCGATTATGGATGGACGTTAAAAAACATTAAAATGGCGTTACCCAATTTTGTTAGTATATGCCACTAATGTAGTATATTTTTAAAATATTTTAATTCTATTGAATTTTATATCAGTTACGTAGATATTTTAAATAATTTTATTTTAATCAAATACAACGTACATTTTCACTCATTTTTTTAAATATAAATAACACTATGTTTATTGAAAAATATTTTAAAAATGTTTGTCTCGAAGTCGAATTTTTTAGGCAAACCAAATCAAACAACACGGACAGCTTCTTTGCTCCTTTTGATAAGAGCTTGCCTCGATTACATAGGGCTGCAATTTCCGGTTTAATGAATCATTTCATTTTCTCATTCAGACTTCTTATATTTTAGTTTGAAAAAAATGCTAAAAATAATTTTAACAAATAAGATTTCGGATTATAGTTAGATAAGGAGTTCGATTAATATAATGCTGCAATGCAGAATAATCCCGTTATTATTTGTATTTATGAAGATTGAGAATATAAATAAACGCTGTAAAGCTTCATTAAAACTAACAGATGTATTATTACCAACTTAAATATTTTTTTAGCATAATTATGCAGTACAGCAGTCATTTTCTAAATTCAGATGGGATTAGAAATTAAACATAAATTTTAGAAGCAATTAATAATATATAACAATCTAAATTTATTAAGTCCCTTTTGAGCCGCGGGGACTTAAACGAGGGGTTAAGAAAGAAGCCCTTCCTGACATAGGACATTGTTGGACTCTCTTAGTATTCAATTGTGTTTCTTCTATCATATTTTGATGCACAATTGGGAAAAAATGATTATTTCGCTTAACAGTTCTTAATTTCTATTGTTAATTTTAAATCACAGTTAAAAGTATCATTTAAAAATAACAGTTATTTTATTTTACTAGAAAATTGCCATGTCTCGCGAGAGATAAACGATTCAGAAATTTTCTTCGGGCTTTATGCATATCAATATGATAATATTAGCCAATATGATTCAGAATTTTACTATAGCAAATAATTTAAAGTAAATAGTAAACAACCCATTAATATCAGTTGTAAATAATTTTGATAGCCATTAAGTTTTGTATTAATGCAATTTATTACAGTAGGTACCTTGCGGATTAACCGAATTGTTGATCAAGCTGATCTTCGTTACGGATGCTTGCTCAAGTGAAAATACCGTTCGGAAGGTCTTTTCAGGAACAGTTCAATGACTTCAGGACCACGTAAACAATATCAGAGAAAAGAGGTTACATAATAAAAATAATAATTCATCTTATTCATAGTTTAGACCATCTTACTAAATGAAAAACGAGGGTTTTACATTCATTTATTTGGGTATTTCTGAATGCTTTACAATTGTTCTGGTCTGACGCATCAGTCACCTCTAAAACGTTCTAATAATAGTTTTTTTATTATTTGAAATTGTTACTCCATTGTGATAAGCAATTACAAGATCTGACGACACTAATAAACGGGATTCAGATTTATTACATCGCTGCTTGCGACTTCTGATTTCACCCAAAAAAAATAAAAATAAAATAAACAAAACGATCAACGGGTCCTTTGCAGTTATAGTAGTTAGGGTTGTCGTGATATCGGGTAAGTTCCGATATTCCGATATTGGTGTAATATAGAATCAAAAATATCGATATCCAGGGATGTACATCCCCCCTAAATATGTTATTGCTCACCTCTTCTTAAAAACAGAGCAAGCTAAGGTAGAATGAGAAAAATCGTAGACCATATACAATCACGCTTGCTACGGTATGTTCCATCCTTTTCCCCTCGTCCCTTACTCTATTTATTCATAATCCCGTAAAAATTCGCCTCCCTCTAAAATAAAAAAGAAAACGTAAATATATTCCCCCCTCAAAAATATTGATTGACCCCATTAAACACCCTTCTGGTCACCCCTGCCGATATCGTCAATATCAAAATTAAAATTAAATTTTTGAAATACTCAACGCTTTATTTTAAGAAATCCTCAAGTAATTTTTCATAACCTTAAATCAATAAGAACTTTGATGATTTCTCCTTTAGTGAAATCAGAACATTGTGAGCTTGTTTGGTACATAAAAGTTATTTGTGTAATTTTAATGTACTTATTTCGTTTTTTATCGAAAAAAAATAAGACAAAATTCACAAAAACGTTCAGTTATAATAAAATGTAAATGTACATGCATAAATCAGTTGTAGTAAAATGTAAAATTTGCCCAAAATCGGTCTTGGTCTTGCACTTTGCAAGACCAAGACCAAGGCCGCCTAACAGTTGTAAGACCAAGA